TTATTTTTCTATACTTTTACTTACAACCTATTCATAATTTAAACTGTGTCTCCTGTAGGCAGCATATAGTTAGACCACGATTTTATCTACCTGCCAGTTTGTCTTTTAATTGGAGTGTTTAATCTATTAACATTTAATATAATTACCGATAAATAGGATTTATGAGTGCCATTTTGCTACAATTGTTCAACTTATTTATTATCTAGTCCCTTCTTTCTAATTTGTACATTCAAACATTATGAATAAAAGTACACTGCCACACTCTTAAGTTATGGCAGGTTTGTATAAACTATTTTTTCCTGATTTAATACACTAACATATATGATTAAATGTATACATATTCATAGTACACACACACACATGCAATAACAGAAAGTTCATAATGGCATATAAAAGAAAATAAACATCACATCAAACCAAGTTACCCAGGAATTATAACTGTTAATTTTGGGGTAGAGTTCGTTTTGGTCTTTCTTCTAAAGCAGAGTGTATGTGTTGTTTACTATTATTTCCCCTGGGGTAAAATATGCCTGGTATCTAGTAGGACCCTCCATAAATATTTAATGAATTAATGAATGTATCTCAGAATCAAACGGACTTGGGTTCCAGTCCTGACTCTATCAGTTAACAAGCTTTGTGACTTTGGGCAAATTAACCTAAACCTCAGTATTCCCATATGTAAAACAGGCATAAGAATAATATTAACTTAATGGAGTTATTTTGAGGATCCAGTAGAATAATATAGTAAAGTTCCTGGCATTACACTGGTCGTGTTTAATAAACAATAGCTGTTTTTAGTATTATTAGGCTTAAATATGTATCTGGGTGTGTATTTTCTTTACATGAAACTGAAATCATACCTTAGAGTTCTATCTTTCTTTTCACTATCTTAATATAGTATATAAATTATAAACATGTTCCTATATTTATAACATTACAAACATTATATTATAAACATTTTCTTATGCAATAGTAGTTAAAAGTATGAATAAAAATTAAAGTTAGATCCAGGCTTGAATTCAAATTCTACCATTTACTGTCTGTGCAACTTCAGATAGATAGGTAACTTCTCTGTGTCTCAATTTGCTTATCTGTGAAATGGAGTAATAAAAGTAACTGTCTTGTAGCATTATGGAATTCAGGTAAAATTCTTAGCACAACATTTGAAATATGCTAAGAACACATTAAACATTAATTATTATCCAAAAAGAGGAAAATGGTACCATAATAACATTATATAGATACTAAACATTTATGTTCTTTCCAATTTTTCACTATAGTAAACAGTGAAACCTTAGTCTATGTCTTGCTCATGAATCTTGGTTAATGTCTTTAGGTGTTTCCTTAAATTCAGGTGCTAACACATTATACCAGGAAGCCTTTTATTTTCAAGTAAAATCTTAACCAGAAGGGACAATAAATAAGATGTATGAATAAGGGAGTGCTTAGAGATTAAAATGGATGGTGAAATAGGCAAAACACTCTGATTCCCTTTACTTGGGGTAATCCAAGATGGCTCTCCTTATGAAAAAGTTTGAAAATCATTGTGCAAAAAACAAATCAAGAACGTTAAAATCTCTCTCTCACTGAATAAACAATGGGTTGCCTGACTGTCGTTGTTCTGGTACTGTACTGTTGGCAAAGACAAAACAATAGTAAGGTGGCTACTTGAGCATTCCATATCTAAGAAGAAATTCAAGCACCATAAATTCCTTACTTATGTCACAAAGATGCTAAGAAACTAAACATAAATGGTTCAGTTAACTCTGCATAACACAAATGGCCAATATATTTTAATGCCACTAGATGTAACACTGAAGAAATAAGCAAAAATGTTCAAAAGCCCATTCTACCAGAGAAACTAAAATGTGGTTTTGGCTCATTAGCCTGATTTCCTATGATTCTCTATTATACTAGCCCTCCAAAAGTCAATCTATTCATGATTATAAGAGTAAAATAAATGGTACTTGTATTATAATTGGACTGGAAATGCTCCACAGCAAACTTAATCAAAGCTTCAGTAGAGTTTCTTAAAACGTAACTCCTATCCATTTGTAACTAGTTGAAGTAATGCCATCATAGCACAATTTAGGGGAAACATCCATAAGCAATTCAAATAAACCAAAAAAATTTAAGCATTATAGCCAAATAAAACTATCTATGGAGTTTTAAACTGAATGTGTTTTATAAAGAGATAACCACTTCAGTTCTAAGTTTCAGGTTTCTAGGGTTTTCCAAAAACAATCACTTTGCTAAAAAAAGTCCAACAGCAAACCCAATAAAATAAAACACAAAATTTGCTTTAGTTTGCCTTTACAAAAAAAAATGTTTTTGAAAATCTGAAATGTTTAAGAAGTAAATATAAAACAAAACAATATAATTTATAAACAATGTAAATTATGTTGTAGAAAACTAACAATATAAATTATAAAATGAATCAAACTTCTCAGAGTTTGCTAGGGTATAATATTCTGTATTGAAAGCATCAAGCCTGCAACTGCAGCTTGTTTTAGAAACAGGTGTCCAAGAGAATGTCACTTGATCTAATGCCTCCTTGCTTTGGTAAGTAATACCGACACTGAGGCCAGAAACTAGAATTATGCTCTGACTAGGTCTCTTAACTGGCCACAATCTATTCAAGCTGCTTTAGCATTTGAGCACCAGGCAAACGTGCTATGTTAATTGCTGTTATATGATCTTGACATGAACTAATCCCTATTCCTGTTAACTTCCTTAGTAAATTAAGCTTTAATACTTAACTGATAACAAATACTGGATAATCCAAAGAAATATAAAATTTAACAGATGAGGGAACAATGAGTGATGGGTACTCATATTATTAGCATAATACATATTTATTTCATATGGCAGGATGATTATGCATTAAAATGGTATCCTAGCCTAGCATTAAATTTGAAACCAAAGCAGGTAGGGTGGTAAATGTAATTTCTACTTTGATCTCATATTTTCTCCATACTGAGTAAGTTTTTCAGAGTGCTAGTAGTGGTGATTACAGGATGTTACAGAATCTGATAATCAGATAACATGAATTAGCAGTTGATGTGGTATGACATTTTGTTAAATCACCCAGTAAATACTTGCTTGCAATAGCACACATATAACAGCAGTGACTCCTGTCTCCATATATCCCATTCTCTCTCCTTCTTCTTCCTTCCACCCTATCTCCCTCCCCTTTCCCCTTTCTCCCTCCCCCTCGACTGCTCTGCTACAACATCTTAGAAAGTAAAAGTGTTTTTAGCCAGAACACAGTGTCTTAAAACACCAGGCTGTCTAGATAACCAAAGCATTATAACCTATAGAAACAATGTTACAAGTCAGAGTTTATTTTTACTTTATTAATATTAAATACCAAAATACAACAACTAAATGCAGGTAGTAATTAAAAACATTTTTAAAATTTATCGGGACAGAGCAGCACAATACTAGATTTTTTATTAGTTTAAATATTTCTGTAAAACAGTAACCTGTACTAGTACTTTTAGGAAAATGACTCTAACCAAATTGACATTATAGCCTGAATGACGAATGGGTCTAGAGTCATGCATGGTCTGTTTAGTTAAACATTTACTGAAAATCTTCCTTTTGTTGGATACTGTTCTAGACTTTGAAAACCTCTACTGATTTTCCCCTTCTCCCCATAACCACTATTACTATTACCACTGCTACTTGCTAATTCTAATTAAGCAGGTTTTCTCTCTGAAAAATACAATTTAAATGAAAACAACAGCTTATAAAATACCATATTATGACTCCATTTCTGTAAAATGATATCTATCCTTTTGTGTGTGTGTTTTAAAAGTCTAAACTAAAATGCCAACGGAGGTTATCTTGGGAGGTGGGACTATGTATGAACTTTGTTTTTGGCTTCCTGTTTTTCTATATTTTTTAAATGTCGCAATGAACATTGACTACCTTTAAAATAAAAAAGCTATTTGATTTTTAATCACATGCGTGCTGTGTTTTTGACACATTTTTTCTTTTTAACTAATAGTAGGGTTAAGGAGAGGAGTATTTATATTTGGTACTTAAAGTACTGAGGCTTCTTGGGTTCCATTTTTAGTATTACCTACTAATACTATGCTAAGCATTAATTATGTATCAGAAGAGGGAAAAATGCAAATAAGTCTTAATCTTATTTAGAGAAGCCATTATTTCAACTACTTCAAAATAGGATAAGTTAAAAAAGAGGCGAGCTTGAGAAATTATTTCAAATGATTATTTGTTACTGCCAACAAAGCAACTCACAAAGAGGTAACAAGGTCCCTTTGGGGAGAATACCTGCAATCAGCATTTATACCCACACCTCATAATATTTTAAAAGCCACTTATCAAAAACCACTCAGAGATTTAATAAGTTCCAGTATAGTACACTCTTAAGATCTCTGGGCCTTTTTCCCTTATTGAAATTTAAGAGACTTTTAAAATAGATTTGGACAAAAAATATTTTAAAGAAGCAGTTTACGACCTAATGTAACATTCAAAGCATTTAGGAATAGATCTGAAGGTAATTATCTTTCAGTGCTTAGATATTAAAAAAATCCAATCTTCTTTTCTCTAGGGCTCAAGGTTCTTTATTTTATGTTACTAGTTATTTGCCATCTAAATGAAAGTCCTCATTTCTATAATTTGTAAAATAACAAAATTGGGATAAATGATCTTCAGGATTCCTTTCAGTCTTAAAATTTTATTATTCTCTGAAAGGCCACGTTAATCACTATTTTTTCCTTAGTTCTGATAGGAATTAATCACTGACATAATTTGTATTTTTTGTTTTATTTAGAGAGCCCAGAATTATTTTTCATTAAAATAGATTCTAACAGATATATACTCTTATTTAGCCACACCAATAACAACTATTATATAAAATTATGGCAAGAATATTTTCACTGATAAAATTTCAAATATTTCAGAATGTGAGAAAAAAAAATCAACATTGGCATTAAGTACTTTCAAGAAAATTTCCAAAAGCAATAACCAACCTGATGACCTGGTTACAGTGGGCGCACATTGGAGTTCGTTTCCCTGCTGGAATGTGCTCAGCTCTTTGCACTAAAGTGTCCTGGTCACTTGGCTGGGGTTGCTCCACAGCTGAGTTGGCTGGTGCCACTGCTCCAGAGGAAATCACACTGTTTGACATTCTTCCAGTGGAAGGTGCTAGAAGTTAAAACACAGAAGAATCAGAATGAGAGAAAATAAGTGAAAAATAAAAATTTCCTAATAATCAAATAATAATAATAATAATAATAATAATTAAAAAAATAATCTATTCACTTGCTTATTCACTCACTCATTCCCATCCATAGTGAGGTTATAAACCAAACACTGCACTGTGACTACACAGATCAGTAGAAAAGCAAATCAAAGATGGCAACACAGTGAAGAGTTATGACAGATGTACACACAGGGTGCTGTAGGGAAAAGCAGTTACCTCTGCTTCCAAGAGAAAATATGGTTAAGATGAATATTGAAGGTGAAGTATTTCTAGTTATCCAAACATCTCTGCTAACCATTAATTAGATTTAACTCCAAATATATCATAGGCACAATAAAAATCTCAATGTGTCGAAGATATCAAAACCAAAAATGAGCTCATTATATTCTCTCTTTTCCCATATTCTTCAAGAAGATTGTGCAGTCACCCAGGAACATAAGGTAGCTATCTAAGAATCATCCTTATTCCTTCATCTTCCACATCTTTGGCAATAACAGGTCCTGCTGATTTGATATCATAAATAGTTCTTGATTTTGCTTCCTCTTCTCCATTCCTATGATACTGTCCTGGTTTAAGTCCTCAATGCCTCCCACCTGGATTAGCCAACAAAATGTCTCATCCTCCTAACTACCACTTAAGACTGAAATCTGACTCAATAAAACGCTGTGTAAAGCATTTCGAGAATCTCCCTGTTCTCTGACTACTAAATGTAGCCTGCGCTTACGTGCTGCATACAAGCCCCTTGAGTGGTCTCTACCTGTCCCACAACCTCATCTTTCACCACTCTTTGCCTTTTAGTCGATGCTACAGCAACACCAAACTGCCTTTTTCTTGTGAATGGGTCTATTTCATGCTGTTTTCACTGTCAGTAAGGCCAATTTTATACCCATCTTCCTATTTACCTAGTTACCACAACTTACTATTTGAGCCTCAGTGCAGAAGTCAACTGCTCCAAAAGCCCTCCCTGAGCTACCTCTCCCCACTGCCCCTTCCATATAATCTGGATCAAACATTTCTATTCTGTGTTGTCATAATTTTCTGTGAATGTCTTTATCATTGTTTCTACTATATATATTTCTGTCTTTTCTTCCCCCAACTTAATAGTGAGCTCCCTAAGGGCAGAAACTATGTCTTATTCATTGCCCTAGCAATTTAATACAGTGTATGGAATGAATGAATGAATGAACTGGAATCAATAAATAAGTGAATGAATGAGAAAACTGTGAAGGACTGAAACCAACGGAAGGCCTGATCCTTTCTCACAGGCAATTAAAATCTAATGGAAGGGAAAAGGTACACATTAAAATGGTTTAAAAGAAACAACTTGTAAGAAAAGCATACGAATAATACAAATTAACAGAGTGCATTTATATAGCTATATAGATGTACGTACATGCATATATATGAACATACATATGCTGACAGTAACCACATTTAAGCATGGTTAGAATTGGGTAAGAATATTTAGGGTGACTGAAATGATAATTCTCCCCCACCAGAATAAGCATTTGCAATGATGTGCAATTACAGATCCAGAAACCCAGAGTTTACAGACACTTAGCACATCTCCTACAGTGTTTTGCCTGGCACTTGATCTGTGAAATGGAACTTCAGGCCAGGGAGCTCTACTACTGCCCATGTTTCAAGTGAGTTAACTAGCCTAGGAACATGTTTCCATTCTCTTAGACTCACACTTTCTCTTGTAGAAATGGAAAAGAAAATTACTGTGATATTCATGCTCTTTCCTGTTACCTCATTTACCCACATAGCACAACCCTCCCCTCCACTGGTCTTCAATTTCTATGCCCAGGCCTGATTTCTCTTAGAGCACTAGATATGCATTTTCAAGGACATTTTCAATGCTAAATCCAGTTATTGTCTTTAAATTCTAGACACATAAAATGGATTTCCTCTCTTGCACACATTACCAGCTCTTCATCACATTTCTATATGTTTAAATTCTCCCACTTACACAGGCATAGCACTCTACCTCCTAAGTCCTTGGGTGGTTAGTTCCCAGACTCTAACAACTGTTTCACAGTAAATTTTTCTCAGGTCTGTCCCTTCTTTCTAGTACAAACCCATACTCTGTCATTTGAGTTCTGGTCTTGAAACCCACAAGTCTGGACTATTACCAGTCTCCCAACTACTCTCTCTGCTGCCAGCCTCTTCTTCAACCTAATCTGTTAGATCATTTTTCCAAAAACACTAATCTGATCATATGCTCCTCCTTATAAAGCTTCTGTAACTCCTCACTGCAAACTATATGTAGTACTGACAGTCCAGTCTTTCAGTTAACCCTCTGCAATCTTCTATATAACCCTGTCTCTTTTATGCTTCCCTACACATCACTGCCATCACCATCATACTAAATTATTTAACTTAATACTAATTGACTTAATATTTAATTTGTACAATCACCACTTGAAAACACTGCTCTCAGATCCTTACCACCCTATGATTTCAATATGATTAATAACACTTTTTTACTTTATGAAGAATCTCAGGCAAACAGGTTAAGAAACCTGCCCAAGGTCACATAGCAAGAAAAAGGCAGTCCCGAACCTGGGCTGTCTGGCTCCAGAGTCTGTGTTCTTAAACAATAGTATGCTATAGTTTTCTCATACTCCTTTGAACATGTCATACCAGATCCTGCCTCTGTGACCTTCGGCCAATGAAATACCCCTTTCTCCAAGGCTCCTCGTAGTTTTCCCATTCTGCAAGACTCCTAGAAGTTCCATTTTCTTCTCCAAAGTCCTCTCTGAAAATCCCAGCTAGAACTGTTCTCTTGTTCCTCTTAATATCTATAACCTGTATAATTTGCTATTTATCAATGTCCTGTTAATATTTTTCCTCCCTCAGTCAGTTACTAACTCTTAAAAAATGGATAACAAACTGTATACTTCTTTCCACTACCAGAAAACTGCCTTATGAATAGATTGTGAAAAATTAATATTTAATCATTTAAATGAAAAGAGAAGGTTCTAAATCCTTTTTGGCCTTTTAAAAGAAGACTATATAGATAGGTATTTTAAAAACATGGATTAGTTTCAGGATTTCAAATAATGGGAAAGTTACCAATTGAAAAATCTGAAAATTAGACCTCAAAGAGAGTCAAACCCTTTCATATACCATATATGCCCTTATTTTATCACATTATCTGTGCATAAGCCCTGAGTCCTGAGTCATTGAGACATTTTTAGCAATAAAAGAGTGTAGAAATTTTCCATCAGTCATTGTAAAATAGGACATAATCCATCTGGCCCGTGTTTCAAGGAGAAGGTATATGGGGAACTAACTTATTTAATGTGAGAAGCTATTCTTAAATATCAAACATGTGACTATATCTTAAACACACATAAAACGGCTCTAAGCTCTATTGCTGTTCCTTTCTTGGGAAGAAATGCTTTGCTTTCAGTTACTGCCCCATTTTAACCACTTTGGATATAAAAGAAATTTTCACACCTCTGTTTGTTGCTCTGTTGCTAGCACATTGGCCTGCACACAAAGCTACACAAGCCCTGTTAATTACCAAGTCCTGAACATTTCCAAGGCACAGTTATTTCCCATATGAATTAAGTGATGTTTCATTTCTTCAGACTGAATTTCTCACTACTCTAGCACAGGGATGGGCAACCTTTGAGCAGTCAAGTGCCAATCCCCCAGACTCTGCTCACTTGGTTTATTGGGGAGAGGGATGTGTAAGAAGGTGAGGTCTTGGGAGAGCAAAAGCACCAGAAAATGAGTCCTGCTTCCATTATAATTTTATGGAGAACTGCACTACCATACAGAGAAAACAAGTCTTCCACGGGTAGCACAGTGACCAAAATGCTTCAAATTTATTGAAGACATTGTAAAAATCATCTACTTTTATGTAGAAACAAATACAGAAAGTCCCTGACTTATACTGATCTGATTTAGGGGTTGTTCAGCTTTATTTTTATTTTTATTTTTTTATTTTTTGTCTTTTGTCTTTTTCCGTGTCCGGCAACGGATCGCAACCCTCAGTGTTGCCCCCGTACCGGACCGGGGACCGGCAACGGGATCGCAACCCTTGGCGTTGCTCCCGTGCCTCGCTCAGCCAGTGAGCGGGAACCGGTCTGTATGTGGGATCCAAACCCTCGGGCGGGAGCGCTGCCGCGCTTCCCAAGCGGCGCACTATCCAGTGCGCCACCGGGCCGGCCCCATGGGGTTGTTCAGCTTTATGATGGTGTGACACCACTGCGTTTTTCATCTTCAGTATCCAATAAATTACATGAGATATTCAATACTTTATTATAAAATAGGCTTTGCATTAGATGATTTTGCCCAGCTATAGGCTGTGTTCTGAGCACTTTTGAGGTAAGCTAGGCTAAGCTATGGTGTTTGGTAGATTAGGTGTATTAAATGCCTTTTTGACTTGATATTTCAACTGATGATGGGTTTATCAGCAGGTACCCCCATTGTAAGTCAAGGAGCATCTGCATACATTCTTATAGCTTAACGATGACAATCTACTTATTTTTTTAAAAAGCAGTTATTTTTCTTTTAAGTTTGACTAAGACCATTAAATAGGAGCACTGAATCAGCCCCATTTCATAACCTAGGAATCTAAGTCACAAAAAGTGTAAGTGACTTATTTGAACTGAATAATGAATGAGTCAGTAAAGTGTCACAATGAGAACATTAGGAGGAAGTCAGTTCTTGACTCAAGATTTCCTTGTTAACCTTAATGTTGAGCAACTTTCATTAAATCTGTGGCTAATCTCTACCCCACTGGGATCTTGTTGAAAATTACTTTAATATTTTTCTTTTGTACCAAATACATTTCAGCACCACAAAACTCACCTAGAAATTCAAAACCACTACCTACTCTCCAAACCAACAGTGTTGGTGAAAATTTCTTTGCTTATTTTTAGAATTGTTATTTATGAATGAGTCTTTTACAGGTTTAGAATGACATCCATTCATACATGATCTTGCCTTTTGTTTTTTAACGCTATGACAGTAAAACCTGAGATTACAAAGATTACCATTAAATAAGTAAATGTAAATTAATGGGAAAACCTATCAGCATACCAGAATACTTTTTTGTTATGACAGGTCTTAAAAAGTTCATGGAAAGATTAGTATTATCTTTTAATTCCATTTCTCAACAGACTTTTTGTAGTACCTTTATATAATATATAAATTTGTCAGGTTAACCAAGTAAAATATACCCAATCCATAATACGCTGAGTTACTGATTTTTAAAATATTTGTCATAGTGACGTATCTGAGAATTCTAAGGTGTGATACTTTTTTAAAAAAGCAAACCCCTGGTTTACCAACCGTAAAGTTTTAATGCGCAACAAAGAAATAAAAAAGCCATCTCTTTTCAACTACAGACTATTAATTGGAGATAAAGAATTTTTTAAAACTGAATGACATAATATTCATTAATTTGGTAAAATGCTTACCTCCTGTTATTGGAGAAATCTTTATGACAGATACTTTGGAAAGAGAAAGTAAAAAATCTTTAATCCAGAAAGATCTTGATTGCATTTTTTCCCCAAACAGATGATTCAGGTTTGCATTATTTAGCAAATTAGTTAGCACAGTTTTAGGCAATCTTATCCTGAGGCTTAATTTTCTTTTCTAATATTACAAATCCCTAACCAGGTGATTATCAAATTTATCCAAATAACTTCTGCATTAATAGGCCACGTAAGTATATTACTGATAATATACTATTTACATAATGTTGATACTATATACAATATTTGTCTAATATTATGCTATATTATATACACAATACATATTATAAAATATTATATAATATGTAAGGAATTGGAAATTATCCAAATATTTACTATGTGCTTCAAAAACATCTGAGCTCATTAAAAGGTAATTGTTTATATAAGTAATAAAGAATTTCCAGTGAGAAAACACAGATTAAAATCAATACAGTTGCTGGTAGTACAATGTGTGAACTCTTTGAAAACAGATGTTTTCTAATAGTATGAAGAATAAGGTGGGTTATTTGATATTTTTGCTCTATTCATGTTCACAAATGGCTGTTAATTCTAAACCAATGCACTTAAAAAATAATAGTGAAGATTATAATGCATACATTAAACACTTGGCCAGACTATACTGAATAGGCATGAAATTAATCAGTTGATTCTTTGGTTCAAATAAAATTATTCAATTACCAGTAAAATATTCTTATTACTGACATATACTAGGTGAAATAATACACACGTCAAACTTTACTTGGAAATGTAACATAAATCAATTGAGGCTGGGGGATGATATCCCAAGAAATAAACTTAAGTAACAAGAGATGTTGCTAGTGTCTTCTAAGGCAGCTTACTTTCATTAGATGTAGTGCTTTGTACTGCTGAACATATTCAGTATGAAAGCAAGTTTGGTGCTGGAAGATGAACTGCTCACGACAATACAAAAAAACACATAACCTGATGACATCTCACTGCATCCACAGCACATCCTGGTCCAAGCCACCACCATCTCTTGCTTGGATTATTGCAGTGACTATCTATAGATTTCCTTGCTTCTACCCTTGCCACCAACACAGAAGTCAAACAAAAGAAGTAAAAACAAAGTCAGATCATTCTACCCCTCTGCTCAAAACCCTCCAACAGCTCCCTTTTAACTCAGCCCTAAAACTGTCCAAATCTGACCCCTGCTACCTCTCTGATGTGATCTCCTGACACTCTCTCTCTTGGCCACCATGTACTAGACACAGTGGCCTCCTTACTATTCCTCTAAGATGGCCAGCATGCTTCTGACTCAGGGCCTTTGTACTTTCTATTCCTTCTACTTGGAAATATTTTCCCCAGCTATTCACATGGCTTGCTCCTTCACTTCCTTCAGGTCTCTGCTCAATGGCCATATTCTCAATGTGGTTTTCCCTCACCATCCTATACAAAATAGCACCCCCTTCCCCAAAAACCATCAGTCTCTATATTCCTTAACTGGTTTATCTTTCTCCACAGCACTCAACTCCATGTAACATATAATATATATATATATATATATATATATTTTTTTTTTTTTCCTTTGTTTGGTTATTATATGTCTCCCCATGCTTTGAGGCCAGGGACGCCATCTGTTTTGTTCACTGCTATATCCCTAGCACCTGGAACAGTCACTGGTATGCTGCTCAGTAAATCTTTGTTTAGAGAAGGAATGACTCCTGCACCAAAATTATTGTGTTTTTATTAAAAGGAAACAGACTCTTTAGAGGACTTGCTGATTCTAGGATTAGGGCAAAAAATGAACAAGAAGAATATGGACTATCTTGACAAATTAGAAAGCAAGGAGCTATCAAAGACTGCTAGAGTTCTATTAAAAAGACTTGAAGAAGCAGATTGGGACAGTGTGAGAATTAGTAAGAATAACAACTACAATGGACTGAAATACTTCAAATATATTTGAATCCATGAATTCACAATGATTCTAGAATTTTTACATTGATTATCTTCAGAGGATGCTAAGGAACTAATTCATTATTTTAAAAACCAGTAAAATTTAGTAAACGGAAAAAAATCAAGCTTTGACAATCATCATTTCATAACTGAACATGTTCCATCTACATTCTACTCACTCCCCTACCATTTCTGAACTTTTTTTTTGAAGCACATTCTAGATATATCATTTAATCCATAATATTTCAGTCTGATCTCAAGGAGAGCACTCTTTTTAAAGCTGTAACTATAATACCATTATCACACT